GATGGTGATAGGGTGAAGGAGGAGAGAGAGATGGTGAGAGAGATGAAGGTGAAAATAGGTGAAAGAGATGATAGAGGCTTTCTGTGAATGAAGGAGATAGTTAAATGAAAGGGGTAGAATAGTAATCTTATGTTAGGGTTGTGGTAGGGAAAACGACCTTTTTGGACCAGAACTATTGCCATCGGATTTTTTTGGACATGATCTTTTAATATTGGCCAATTTGAACATGAACCTCAAATTAATTCAAATTCGATACCCAAATGTACAATTTTATTGTTGATTTAGACATTGACCAAGTCACCGTTAGTCAACGTTACCGGAACAATGACATGGACGACACGTAGACAAAGGGAAACGATATTTTTGGACCAGAACTATTGCCATCGGGTCTTTTTGGACCTGATCTTTTAACATTGGCCAATTTAAACCCGAACCTCAAATAAATTTAAATTCTTATCTCCATTTCCAGATTTTCGATCTCCAATGGACAGTGACATGGACGACATGCAGACAAAGGGCTCGGTTTCGTTTGAATAACAGCCTCACAAGTTTTTGTCTCCAAGTTCGACGCTAAATCGACACTAATATAGCGTCATATTTTCAACCGACGCTAATTCGAAACTACTCGCAAATACGACACTAATTTAGCATCGATTTAGCGTCCAAATATTGCATCGAATCCAACTCGACGTAAATATGATGCTAAATTTGCGTCGTATTTGCGTCGATTTAGTAGTTTTGAATTAGCGTCGGTTGAAAATTTGACGGTATATTAGCGTCGATTTAGCGTCAAACTTAGAGACAAGAACTTGTGAAGCTATTGTTCAAACGAAATCGAGCCATTTTTATGCGTGTCGTCCATGTCAAAGAATTTGAATTTATTTGAGGTTCGAGTTTATAGTGGCCAATGTTAAAAGATCAGGTCTAAAAAGGCCCGATGACAATAGTTCTGGTCTAAAAAACCGTTTTCTTTTGTCTACGTGTCGTCCATGCCATTGTTCCGTTAACGTTGACTTAGTCAAGGTCTAAATCAACAATAAAATCGTACGTTTGGGTATCGAATTTGAATTAATTTGAGGTTCGGACTTAAATTGGCCAATGCTAAAAGATGAAGTTCAAAAAGACCTGATGGCAATAGTTCTGGTTATGGTACTTTTCAGATTTTTTTTGAAAATTATGGTATTTTTCATAATTTTCACCTTTTTTTT